TTTTTTTGCTTCCTGGCCACCACGAGGTCAACAGGCCTCCTCTACCATATGTTCCCACAATGATGCAAAGCAGCTAGGCCACATGACCATGTACTGATACCTGTGAATCTGTGAGCCAAAATAAATCTTCCCTCCTTTTTTTTGTACCAGGGATCGAATTCAGATCCTTAGATCCTTGAACTTACAAGGCAGGTGGTGGAACCACTAAGGTAAATCCCCGGCCCAATCTTCCCTCCTTTTAAATTGATTATCTCAGATATTGTTACAGTGGTGGAAAGCTGACTAGCACACTCTTTTTCTCAGAACCCAGATATCACCTTTCCTGCATCTTTGTGACCTGGCTGCGGTGTCACTGAACAGGGCAGGTTGGCAACCTTCTAGGGAACCAAATTGAGGTCAGTGGACAGAAGAAATAGTGACTCTTCTCTTCTGTTCTTTAGCTTTCTCTCTTAATCTTCCCTTGAAACCTAGCCTGGGACTTGGGATCAGTACCTGCAAGGGTAAAGGGGTAGGCATTGTCCTCCAGCTTGTGCAGCAGTTGCTCCTGTAAAACTGTGAGGGGCACCTGGGGGCTGTTGAGCTCAGCTGGAACCACTTGCTGAGCCTGTATATGCAGATCTTTGTGGAATTTCAGACCAATACCATCCAAGTCATCATGGCCATAGTGAAAAGCACATGTCAACATGATGAACACTGCAGGCAAAGGAGGAAGAGAGTGACCTGTCAGGCCTGAGTGGGAAAGGAGACCTTAAATGGGTCACAGGAAGACAAAGAGAGGCAATGTAATACAATCGAGACAGTACAATCACTATGAAAAAGAATAATACATTTAACTAACAGTAGAAGTTTAAATCTTCTTTATGTTAAAAGAGTTTTAAAGGAGAGAAAAAAGGAAAGCCAGAGGGAAATTATTTGCTATTCATATATCAAACAAAAATTTAGCATCTGAAATAAGTGAGAACTTCCATTAATCTATAATAGCATACTAACAATTATCATAACAATTATAATAATAATAATAATAATTATAATATAAATATTTGAATAAATATTTGAATTAAATACTAACACTACTACTACTATTAATATAAAGTGTTCAAAGAATGTTAATAAACTCTTTGCAAAGGGACAAAATGGAATAGCCAGTAACATATGAAAACATGTAGTCTCATTAGTAATCAGATAAATGCAAAGTAAAAACCACATGAAATTATATTTCACACCCATCAAATTGTCAGACATCATAAAATCTGACAATGCTGAGTGCTTGTGAATATGTGGAGCAATTGTACTTCTTATGCAATAACTCAAACACTGGAGAACTGGCACTATCCAGTAACATTTAAATTGCTCATATTTTAAGAATTCTACTATATCAGAGTAGCCCTTGCTCGCATTTACAAGGAAATACATATTAGAATGCCTTTAGCTTCAGTGTTTGCAAGAACATAAAATGGGAAATAATCTAAATTTTTATCAACAGAATGGATAATACTTTTATAGAATATTCATGTAATTGAATATGAAACAAGTTAAAATAAATGAACTAGAGCTTCATGTAATGCTATGGTTTAAATGTGTCCCCTCCAAAATTTAGGTATTGAAACTTGACAACTATTGTAATGGTATCAAGATAGTCTTAGTTTAAGAAGTGATTAGGTTGCGAGGATTATTTTTTCGCTTGTGAATGGGATTAGGGTCCTTATGAAAGAAGCTTCGTGCAGCATTTGGTCCTGTAGCCCTTCTACCTTCTGCCATGTGAGAACAGGCAAAATGTTCTTCCCCTCTGGAAGAGGCAGTAATAAGGCACCACCTTGGAAGTACAGGGAAACTGTCACCAGACAATTGAATCTTCTGATTGCCTTGATCTTGGACTTCCCAGCCTCCAAAACTGTGAGGAAATAAATGTCTGTTTTTTAGAAATTACCCGGGCTTAAGTATTTTGGCATAGCACAAATGGAGCAAGATGTGTATTTATATGGTTAAAGTTTTTTACTATTGAGTTAAAAACAGCTAGCACCAGAATTATAAATGTTACTATTTATATACAGTTAAAAATCACGTATGTGGAACAATATCAAACTTGATCACAGATACATAAATATGGAATAGAAGTACAGAAACATGGGAATAATGCACACCAAATTGAAATTAGTAGTTACCTGGGGTGGGGGAAGAAGGATGAAGAAAGGATACACCAGAGGGTGGCTTCAGTTTGATTCTATAATTCTTTTAAAACCAAGGGCTGGGTACAGACATTCATTATATAGTTCTCTATGCCTCTTTTCATAATTTAAAAAAGACTCAGTAAGATTTAAGGTCAGAAGACAAGCATGGTGTAATCCCTGAATCCCAGCACTCCGGGAGGCTGAGGTAGAAGAATCACAAGTTCTAGCCCAGGCTGGGCAATTTAGAAACTTAGTGAGACCCTGCCCAAAAATAAAATATAAAAAGGGCTAGGAGAGCCAGGTGTGGTGGCACCTGCCTGTAATCCCAGCACTTGGGAGTCTGCCAGCCTGAACTGCATAGTGAGACCCTGTCTCACATCCCCTGCAAAAGGATGGAGATGTAGCTCAGTGCAAAAGCTCTGTGTTAAATCCCCATTACCACAAAATAATTAACTAAATAATCAAATTAAAATATTTAGGGTCAGAATACTTGGGCTTGGATAAGACTTTCACAAATCCTGTGAGTTCTCTGTGACTTAGTGATTTTGCCTAACAATAACAAGACTGTACTAGAAGCTCTACATATGTTATTTAGATTTCAGAACAATCCTCTATTATTATCAGCATTTTGCAGTATGTTAAATGAACTCAGAAGCAGGTAAGGATTACAATGTATGCCTGTCTGACTCCAAAGATTAGATTCATGGGTGTCCAACTTCATTTCAATTAGAATGCTTGTGAGCAGTTGACATACAGTTATAAGGAAACTATATAGTGATTGTAGATATGGATGATGACCATGATGCTGACAGGAATCTTGGCAGAAATTGAACAGTTATGAACTCATACTTTGCAGCTGATACTTAAGATAGAAAAGAAAAAAATACATGAGAAAATGAAAAAATGGAAATAAAGTATTTGTAAATAGGGAAGGGAGGAGGGGGTGAAGGGAGGGCAGGGATAAGGGGAAAAACTGAGAACCAAGACCTGTCATGTAAAGGTACAAGATCCCAATAATGAATGTAACTGTACTGTATTCCTAAAATGTACCAATAAGCCCAATGAGATAAAAAAGATAGAAAAGCCTCTGAAATGCATTAATGGAATATGGGATGGATTACAGGAATACCTGTCCAAGGCCACCGTGACAGAGTGAAGCAGGGAAAGATGTAGAACAGAGGTGGGTATCTTTATTTTATCAGGAGCCCTGACCCAGAGAAAAGAAAATTATCAACAGCTGCACCTGAGTAGAAAGCAAGTTACTGCAGTGTTTTGAAAAGATCAATATTATCAGATTATCTGCTTTTAAAATTAAGAACAAGAAAAATGAATATATTAAAAATATAACAAAGATTAAAAGTAATGATACCAGTGTTTTTATTAGGTTTGGGATAATAGGCACCCTGGTATACTGCAGGAGAGAGAGTTGATACAAACTTTTTGGACAGCCATTTGGCAATAAATATAGAAAAGTTTAAAAATGTATGATGCCCTTTGGGTATTAATTCAGCTTCTCAGCATTACACTGAAGGAATTATTGGATTACACACACACACACACACACACACACACACACACACACACTGATGTGCTTTGTGGGGCTGTTCATAACAGTAAAAAAAATTGAAAACAAAATGAATTCCAACAATTGAAAATTGTAAGGGATTGGGGATTTAGCTCAGTGATTCTACCACCTGCCTCAAGCATGAAGACCCAAGTTCGATCCCTGGTACAAAAGAAAAAAAAAAAAGAAAAAGAATAGAGCACAGTACTAAGCAACAAATGTTGTATTATGTATCTTTTTCTTTCTTTCTTTCTGTTTTTTTTTAGTACTAGAGATTGAACCCCAGATATACGTATGGGACTAAATCCCCAGCCCTTTTAAAAAAAATCTTTCATTTTGAGACAGTAGCTCACTAAATCACTAAGTACCCAGACTGGGTTTGAATTTGTGATCCTTCTGCCTCAGCCTCCTAGAACGTTGAAATTACAAGAGCGTGTACCATACTCCGCAGGTTTTTTATATGCTGATATAGGTTTAAAAGGTTATAAAATATTATTAATAATATAACATTTTAAATAAAATACAGACATTTGAACAGAAAATGTGATAAATAAGAACTATAATTAGTGATTATTCATGACTGAGGGTGATGGGATTACAGTCTTTCTCTTTTACCTGTATTTTCCTATTTTAGTATATGTGCTGCCAAAGAAAATGCTACTTGTATTTTCTAAATTTTCTACAATGGAGACAAACAGTTTTCAGAAGGTAAAACAAATTCACATTGGTTCTCAACGAACGTGAAAGAAAGGAGAAAGGAAAGGAAAAGCAAAGGGATAAAAGAAAGGTAAAGACAAGAGAAGGAGATGGACAAGAGGTGGCTGCAGGGCTGGGGGTGTAGCTCAATGACACTGCATGGTTAGCATGCAGGAGGCCCTAGATTCCATCCTCACCACCAACAAATACAGGTGGCTGGAAGAAGGAAGCAGGAGGGAGGAAATGAAACACAGTGGAATGAGACAGAAGAAGATCAGAAGGGGTGAGGCAGAAGAGGATCTGGTGCCCAGCGGTGAGGGTGTTAACAGATGAATTGTTCTTGGCTCACTTTGTCTGCTTGTGTAGAAAGGGCTGTAGAATAAGTCCTTAGCCACCACCCAAGCTCTAACGTGAGCTTTAGCAGTTTACAATAATCCTTGGTTTTAGAAGATAGCTTGTTATTTACTAATTAATTACTTTTGTGGTACTGGGGATTAAAACAGGGCCTTCACACTGAGCTACTTTACCAACTGTAAATTTTTTTTTAATACTGAGGCAGTGTCTCAATAAGTCATTAAAATGCCCAGGCTGGGCTCACACTTGCAGATGTCCTGCCTCAGCTTCCCAGAGTGCTGGGATTACAGTCATGTGCCACCATCCCCAAATAGCTGTGTTTTTTTTCTTTTTCTTTTTTTTGGTACCTGGGATCGAACTCAGGTCCTTATGCTTGCGAGGCAGGCGGTGGAACCACTGAGCTAAATCCCCAACCTCTTCTTTTCTTTTCCTCTTTTCTTTTGTCTGTCTTTCTTTCTTTTTCTTTCTTTCTTTCTTTCTTTCTTTCTTTCTTTCTTTCTTTCTTTCTGAGACATGGTCTTGCTATGCAGCTCAGGCTGGCCTTAAACTCACTATGTAGCCCAGGCTGGGCTTGAACTCCCAGCAATCTTCCTGCCTCAGCCTCCTGAGTGTTGGAATTACGGGCATGCATCACCATGCTTTGCTTTTATTTCCTTTTAAAAGGCAACATCTATTCTACTGTTATTCACTTATATTTGTTTTAATATACAACTAATGTATATTAATTTTATGAGCATCAGAAAATAGAACCCAAAAGAGAAATCAAAACTCCACCATAATATATAGTGTTTCCAGATGTAGTTGCTGTTAATATCTGCTGTGCATATGCCCTGAGTTGTTTTGTTTCTGTAACTGAACACAAGGCCACCTTAGGTATTTATTATGTCTTTCTCATTGCCTTTTTTAATTGAGCATTTTTTCAGTCTAGGTTCAAACTTCCCATTCTTCCACTTCATTCTGCCCAAGTGGTCAGATCACAGGCATGCACCACCACAACTAGTTAACTAAAAATGTATTTAAATTTTTTTGTTATTTAAAACTAAAGATTTATTCCAAAGATTATGTGGAAATGTGAAAAACTGACTCAGGTTTCAGAAATACGAAAAACTGATTTAGGCTTTAGAAATATAAAGTACTTGGAAACCTTAAAGAAACTGTTTAATTCATGACTATATGTACCCTTAATGTCCTCTGATATTTAAAACCTGCTGGATTGCTTATCCACTCTGCTTTATCTTAGAGATCAAGGCTACTTTATTCCTCAATATCTAAAGGTTACATCTGAATTAGTATTCATCAACTTGTTCTGAGCCTTTTCAAATCAAACCCAATTTTCAATCTAGTTGGCTCCTAGTGGGGCTAATCCATATTGAAAATTACAAGAAAAAATGGCAATGAAAAAAAAACTTTCAATGTAATCTTGATCTATAGTATTGCTGCCAGAGCAATATTTCTTACTGTTGCTTCCTGTGGTTGTTATTTCATTTCTTCTTCCTTTTTTTTGTAACGGGGGTTGAATTTAAGACCTTGTGCTTGCCAGGAAGGTGCTGTACTGCTGAGCTGAAAGCCTGGCCTCTGTTTGTTTATTTTTAAAGGAATGGTTGGGCAGTTTTCCTACACAAAAGGAGAGATGGAAAAATGGCAACCTGAAGGTCACATTCAGCCTACAGACAAAAGAAGTATTTGGACATAGCCAGGCCTTTTAAAATCTTTTAATGAGTTGTCAACATTTGAAAATCAGGAAATTTGCATAAAAATACAGGTCTCTGGTGTACTAGATCATTCTATAGACAATCTAAACTCATAGTTAGATCAAAAGCCAAGCAGGACGCCACCAACAATAATGGAAGCAATCAGAAATTTTAGAAAGAATGTATTTTAACATGTTACTGCTGGTTTGAAGCACCAGTAGTACATGCATGACTGTCCCATTGGGTGGCTTGAACCCCTGGCAGTACAAACAGATTTAATCACTTCTATTGGTCTTTTTACTAATAAAATTAATAAAGAGCCACCTTATGGTACAGCCATGCATGTACCACTGGTGGTTCAAGCTACCCAGCAGTGAGACATATGAATTATGGCCCTGTTGTGAACATATTAATATCAGTACACATGTAAGTTTGTGTAATTTTGAAAAATAAAATTTTATTTATGCTTTAGAAATATTCTGTTCTGAACATTATTTAGAGAAGGAGCACCATGATCTTTTCTGACTTTGGGCAACGAAAAGTCTTATTCTGAGCTTCATTTCCAGTTCTTTTTCTTTTCAGTAATGGGAATGAAATCCAGGGTCTGATGCATGCTAGACAAGTGCTCTGTTGTTGAGATACATACCCAGTCCTCCAGTTCTTACTGAACAACCAAAAAATTGGTCACAATCAGCTGGAATTCTGTTTTCAGTCCCCATCAGACAAGTCATTCACAGTTCCTATCACTTTCTGGTTTTCTTCTCCAATTCTGTCCTAGTCCACTGTTTCAGGTTGCCTGTCTTGCAGGTGACATTTCTGTTTGGAAAACCTGAAATATACAAAGACCAATAAGGCTTCCCACTTACTCTTTCAACCTTTTAAGTAATCGGGGTCAACCAGGATTACACCATCTGTAGAAAGAGGAAGAGATGGCACCCAGGTCAGAAAAATTCTCACACTATGAAACAAAAGTTGATCCCTGAAGTGGTTTTTCCCATTCTTCCCTTCAATTAGCCTCCTTTTTCTTCATGGTTCCTCTGGGCATTCTTTTCCTCCCCGGCTCTCATTTTCTTCTCCCCAGGATCTTGGACTCACTGACCAGTGGGTTCCACCGAGTCCACGTGGTCCACGAAGTCCCGTTTTCCCAGGTAGATAGAAAGCTGTTGTGGAACAATCTCTTGTGCAGTCTCACAATCATTTTTTTGAAATGAATTCCCTCAAACTTCCAATCCAAACCCCTAAAACTTTGAAGAGTGTACCTACTTATCCCCCTCACCCTCTCATTTGCCCAACTGGGCCAGGTTCTCTTACCTTCCCATTGGAGCTGGTCTTCTTAAACACCCTTTGGGGAGAAAACCAGAAAGAGAGAGGGTAAATTGGGAGAGGAGGGAAAAGGAGAGGAAGTGAGAGGGAAGAAAGGAAAGTGAGGAGAAAAGGAAACAGTCCCAGGATTAGGAGGAGAAGCTATAAGAGAATGAGATGGAGAAAAAGTAGAGGCAGTTGAGGTTGAGTTTAAAGCCACAACTTGGGAAGAGGTTGAAATATCTTTGTCCCAAAGGTAAATACTAGAGTTTGGTTAGAAAGCAGTTCACGGTTTCAGAGCATTAGAAGGAGATCTTATTTATTTGAAGATATTGAACAGGGAGTCAGTGATGAGCCTTTTTGGAGATGAGTGACAGAAGGAAGAAAGCTCCATCATTCGTTCCCTGTTCTCCTTACCTGCCTGCAGGATACCATCCAAACGCACCTAGTGTGATGGGTTTTTCCCTCCCTAGACAGATACCTCACCACCATCAAGAGTTTTCCATTCTCCCTCTAGTCAAAGGTACTTCCGCCATACTCTTACCTATCCTGGACAAGGGGAAACCGTCTAATTTTGTACACATTGTGACAAACCATATTCTCTATTCTCCAAAAATGTTTGGACTTTGCGGAATGACTCGATTACCCTTGAGCGAATGAACTTGTCTGGACAGAGGCTTCTTCCAGAAAATTGTGGGGAAAATGTATTTCTTGGACTAGATGAGGCTGGTCCTCACCTGGCATAAAGCAGGTGCCAAGACATGTTTGTTACATACACGAATGAAGATGAACAAATGAATTAATTTTGTCTCCTTATGTCCCTGCAATAGACTGTAACCCTGAGTTTACTTCAAGATGACCTTGACCTTCAGCTAAGAAGAAGGAAAAGGAAAGAAAACAAAGAGAGAAAGGGTAGGAGAGAAGGGACTGCTGTTCTCATTTTCATGGTGTTGTTTGCAGAAACCTCTATGGAAGCTGAAAGCCTTTCTTGAACTTATCTATTTCTCTCAGTAACTTTTTCAGATCTGCATCTTTATCTTAACATCTCCCCAGATGCTAGGGAACCTTAGAAAGAGGAAGTTGTTTTTCTAGTGCTTTCCTGTGAGGCATACTAGGCCTGGTCTGAAGGGTGATCTCAAGACAGCTTCCAGGTCTCTTTGCCTAGATGCCTGCTGCTTGTGTCACGAAAGATGCCCCTCAATTTCCCCCAACATATTAAGGGGGATGCTAAGGGTAAGGGCTATGTGGCTTAATAACAGCTAGAGATAGGGGGCTATGGAATATTAACTGGAAGAGAGATCAGGTTCACATTAGCCTCCAGCTCTAGTTGCTATGCTCGCCTCCCCAGCCTCTTATACTCACAGTCTTTGGAGTGTTTAGATGGGTGGGAATCAAAGAATAGAGTTTGGAGTAGGAAGGATGAAACGCTGCTATAAACAGCTCAGGTACCAAGGATTTGGAAAGCAGATTAGTGGCTACAAGATTAGTGGCTAGAAGACTAACAGGCTGTAGTTGCTAGAACAGAATGGGGGTAAGGAATTCTGATATTAAAGGTGGGAGTGTTTAAGAGGGGGAAACTACCAAGTTTTGGCTTTGTGAAGCCTTAAACTGGAGGGCTGGGCTCAACATGGACTTGGAGGCCTTAAAGGTGAAGCATAGAAATAGAAGGACTCAAAGTATAGGCCTTTGTTTCTGAAAGGAGAAACTTGTATCACAGTCCAGTCTTTGTATGTATTGATGAGCTGTTTCAGGCCACATAAAAAGCTAGGGTATAGGGTAGAATATCTCTTCTCCAGCCCCCAGGCATCCCTCACATTTGGGACTTTGGAGTCTTGAAGCTGATAAAAATCAGAAGCACTGATTATCCCAGGTAATGTGTATGGCAGGAGTCAATCTTCTGCAGGTGGTGGGGGCAGGAGCCAGGAGCTGAGTGTAATGAGCTGTATGTACACATATATGTGAGACTTGAACTTCAGTTTTTGCTGGAGAAGGTACCAGGATATCTGGCCTAGGACAGGATCTTCTGACAGCACCTTGCAAGTGGAGGGAACAGGTAATTGACTTCTAGATTACCTGCACTTAGAGTAACTTGCCCTTCCACTGCCCCACCTCTCCAATCTCTAAAACTAAATCCATGCTCTAAGCAGCTTTCCTTGCCTTGTTTGACTGTTCTTCGAATGAGAGACATTTCTGTCCCTGCAGCTGTCAGGACCACCATGATGACAAGGACAAAGACAGAGACAACAAGAAGGAAATTTCTTGACTGTCCTCCCCATAGGACTCAGGCCTACCCTTTCTGAGTGTGGAAAACTTTAGAGAATGAACCTCCAAATTCTATAGGATCCAGGACCTTGGCCCCTTTTGTTTCTCCTTAGAATTATCTGGTCTGTAGTCCTTATCTACAGTCACAGCCCCAGATCCCTGCCATAGGGTGTCCATCCCTCCAAGGATGGCTATGGCTGTGGCTCAGGGGGCTGAGCAGAGCCTCTAACTCTGGCTTCTCACTGAGGTCTGTACTCAGCAGCCCTGCAATCTCTTTGCACAGTTAACTAGGTCAGCCCTTACATTCCTGGCCAATATGCACCATGTGGCCTTGTCATTTCCTTACTACAATTCTCTTTCTCAGGGATTCCCAAGTAGAGATAGAAACCCCAATCCTTCAGGGACCAGAGTAGGATAGAAATTATTGTTAAGCATTTGGGAAAAATTCAAATACTTGTGAAGGCTGGTGACAGTGAGGACATGAAAGGTCAGAATGAATATACTTTTGGACTAATCTTCACCAGGGCCTCAGTCATGGTGCCTGCCTTCCATCCAGGTAACTTATCCCTCTTGCAAGTCAGGCCCATGGTTCCCCTCAGTAGGAAGAAAATAGATCTGCTAGGTCTTTAGGTTATTATGATGATGGAATTTAAATCATTATGTCTTTTCCAGGATTATATGCATTTCTTTTAAAATTAGTGTAGAGGTACAAGATCCCAACAATGAATGTAACTGTACTGTATCCCTAAAATGTACCAATAAACTCAATTAAAGCTGAAAAAAATAAAATTAGTGCATACAGTAAGTCCCTGACTTATGAATAAATTCCATTCTGGGAGAATTGTTCATAAGTTGAATTTGTTCACGAACCAACAAAGTGAGTCTTATATGGTACACCTGTGAAAGCTTGCAACACAAATGTTCATAAGTTGAGGATTCACTGCATCAGTAATACAGAATGAGATTCATTTTGGTATATTGGTACATGCATATACCGTATTTTGATTATTTCCTCCCCATTACTCTCTCTCCTTTCCTCCCCTATCCCCTTTCCATTTCCAAAATTTTGTCTTCTTTTTTTCCTAGTAAGCTTATTGGTACATTTAAAGCAAACAATACAGTTACATTCATCATTGGGATCTTGTACCTTTACATGATATGTCTCGGTTCTTATTTTTTTCCCCACACCCCTAAAACTCTGTCTTCTTTATAGTTTCCTGTCTAGTGTGTTCATTTCTTGACTGAGGTATAATTTACAAACAGCACAATGCACAAATTTTAAGAGCATCTCAATGAATTTTTACCTACTGTGGCAAGCTGCATAATAACCCCTAAAGATATCAGGTCCTGATCTGTGCAATCTACAAATGTTACCGCACATGATAGAGGGTGATTTGTAGATGTGATCAAGTTAAGGATCTTAAAATGGGGAGATTATGCTGTATTAACCAGGTGGGCCCTAAATATATATAATCACCAGTCTCATTATGAGAGAGGCAGAGGGATATTTGACTATGGGGACAGAAGGCAATGTAAGGCCTGAAGTAGGATGTTATGCTGCTGGGCTTGAAGGTAGTGGAAGGGGCTATTGGCAAGAAATGCAGCTCAAGACACAGAAGAGGCAAGGAAATGGGTTCCCTCCCATAGTCTCTCATGGTCACAAGGTGACTTGCAGTTTAAGTACAGGTCTGCTGACACCTGGATTGTGGCCCATTGATACTTTCATATGTCTTATCTCCAGAACTGTAAAAGAAAAGTGTGTACTGTTTTAAGCCAACAAGTTTGTTGCAGTTTGTTACAGCATCCATAGGAAACTAATATATCTGCGTATACATACATGTAACCACAGCCAAGATCAAGATATATAACATTTCCAATACCCCCAATTCTCTTGTGCCCCTTTGACCAGGAGTACTTGCATTTTACAAGAATGCATAGATAATAAGATGAGGGAAAGCTTCTTTGATGGTGGAGTTTATGGTCATAGATTGATGGGAGAGCTATTTTCAGGTCCTCACTCACCCCTGCTCTGCACACTTCAATGATACTCTCAGTCAAGCCAGTTAGGAAGGTGTGGGCTATTTAGCACCTGTACGTGATATATCTCTTTTTTGTGTGTACCGGGAATTGAACTCAGGACCTTGCACTTGCGAGGTAGGCGGTGGCACCACTGAGTTAAATCCCCAGCCCTTATATCTTAATTATTCCTTTTCCCCCCACTCCCCTCCCCTCTCTTCAATCTCCCCCCATTTACAAGAACTTTGGTTCCATTTTTCCCTTCCATTCTCTTTTTTAAAATCCCTTTTCCCTTCCCTCTCCCTTGTTTCCCTTTCCATTTAAAATGTTCTTCCTACTTCGCAATATCTATCATCCACTTTGCTCTTTATTTACCCTTCAGGTTTCTCACATAAGAGAAACAATATGATATTTAAACTTGTGTATCTGATTTATTTCACTTAAAATTATGGTCTTGAGGCTCATCCATTTACCTAAAAATGTCTCAAGTTTATCTTTCTTTATGGGAGAGTAGTACTCCACTGTATATAAGAACCACATTTTCTTCATCCATTCATCCACTGATGGGCATATGGGCTTTTTCCAAGATTTATCTATTATAAATTGTGCTGTTATAAACATAGGTATGCATATATCTCTGTGGTATGATGCTTTTTAACTCTTCTGGGAAGATACATAGAAGAATAGTAAGGTCATATGGAACTTCTAGCTTCATTTTTTTCTTTGTTTGCTTGTTTTTGCAACAGGGTCTTACTATGTAGTTGAGACTGACCTGGAACTCACTATGTAGCCCAGGCTGGTCTGGAACTCACAGCGATCCTCCCGCCTCAGCCTCCTGAGTGCTGGGATTACAGTCATGCACCACCACGCCCAGCAAGTTTCAGTTTTTTGAGGAATCTCCATACTGATTTCCCTAAATTGTATCAATTTACACTCCCACCAACAATGAGGAAGGGTTCATTTTCCCCCACAGCTTCATCAGCATTTGTTATTGGATTTGTTATTGGGTGATTTCATTTTCTTAATTTTTTAACTTTGTTTTTTATCAGTACATATCTTGTCATACATATTGATCACATTCATTACAGGGAATTTGTATCTGTACATAATATATCTCAATTCTTATTTTTTCGCCATTTCCCTCCCCTCCTTACATCCCATCTTCCTTTTCCATTTGCAAAGCTTTGTTTCCATTTTTCCTTCCCTTCTCTTTTTTTTCTTTTCCCTTCCTTTCCTTTCCCCTGCTCTCTCCCTTGTTCCCCTTCTCATTTGACTGAGGTATAATTTACAAACAGCACAATGCACAAAAAAGTACACACAAAAAAGAGATATGCCTTCCTACTTCCCAGTATCTATCTTTGGATATCTCATACAAGAGAAACAATGTGATATTTTAACTTGTATTCTGATTTATTTCACTCAAGTATTTCACTCTCCAGTTGCATCTATTTCCTACAAAAGACTTGTTTATTCTTTATGGCAGAG